ATGAATTATTTTACATGTGTTTTAGGCTGGGATTTTAACATGTCAAATTCTATTATTCACAGACGCATTAAAAATGTAGACAAATAATTACACTGGAGTGTAAATGTGTTGTCTCAATTCGCGCGTAACTTCATCAGTAAGAGACGTTAGAGTGCATCATTTTTGCTGCACAGAATGATAATATGTCAGTATATCAGAATCAGAATGAATTTTATTCGGCACGTTTGTGGGTACAAACAAGGAATTTCATAATCAGTTCAATCGTAATCAAGGTACAGTCACAAATCTGCTAAAAGGATTTCATGACCACAGACATCACATTCTGTTGCCATGTTCAAATGGCAACAGAACATTCAATCTGTTGCCATTTGATCCTGTAATGGGACCTAGGATGATGGTGGAGCACTCCAAGAGGGTGGGAACTTCTCAAAGTTTGAGAGATTTCTTAAAGATGTGAGTGAAGATGGGTCTAAGTTGATCAGTACAGGTTTTACTGTACTGTGAGGGGAGACTCCATCTTCCCTATCCTTACATCCCCCTATCTGTTCTTTCTATCCCCCAAGAAAAATGCAACCATGGAAAAGTTGAACACCAAGGCTCTTTAACAAGTTTTTTATACTCGCCAGGTTTCTGGTTTCTTCTTTAAAACGAAGGATGGGGGTCCCAATCCTTCATTGACTACTGGGGTTTGAACAAAGTCAACATTAAAAATCGCCGGCAACCCCTCTGGCCGCTCTCGATGACATGCTGCTGACACATAACAAAATTTTCAGAGATAGGAGCAAAACAAAAACTTGAAGCACAAACCAGCTCAAAATTGTAGCACAATTGATTGACATCAATTTAACTTGATCTGGATAAATGTGGGAGGGCTGGTTAACCTCTGACCTCTGGGACCTTTTGTTAATATCTCCAAAACAAAAGCAGTACAAATGCAAATGTTAGCATGCGATTGATTTTTTTTTATTTTGACTTTGTAAATGTGGGCGGCTGTTTGACCTTTGACCTCAGGAAACATATTATGTCTTTAAAATGATAGAGAAGAATCGACATCATTTTAGTTTGATAAGAAAAAGCTGCTCTTGGCATCTTCATTCAGGACCTTTTTATTGTAAGCCACCGAGAGAATCAGTGAAATTCTCATAAAAAAGCATCTAATTTTATCATAAAACGTGTTACAGGTTTGACACTCAGAACAGGTAGGTTAGATATATTTTACCTGCATCAAATGTACAACTAATTAGAACCAATACACACATTATGCAGTATTTTTGCAAAGCATAAAATAAGTTACGGATATCATTAACTTTTATAAAAGCTACAGAACAGGAGCATGAATATTTATTAAGCCCCACCTTCACATCAACAGAGGACAGAGAGCTGAATATATATAAGACAGCTGTTTGGCAAAGTGATTGAGGCTTGAAACGAACTGAACAGCTTCTTGTCTCCTCCTCTGTCTAATTATGAAAACTGTTGATGAAGCTGAACTTTGCTTTCCCCAGCTGCTCAATACATCCTGCAGAAAGACCATGCTGCCCCCCTCTGTGTCCCTGGTTATTCACTTAACATTATCTTCCATCTCTCTACTTACAGT